CTCCTCCCTCCCTCCTCCTCCTGGCCAACCAGCGTCATCCTCCTCTTCCTCCTCTCTCCTCCCTCCTCGCCTCCTCCTCCCTCCCTCCTCTGCTCTCTCCTCCTCTTCCTCCCCTCTCCTCCTCCACCACCACCACCACCACCTCTCTCCTCTTCCCTCCCTTCCTCCCCTCCCCTCCCCTCCCTCCCCTCCCCTCCCCTCCCTCCCATCCTCCCCTCCCTCCCCTCCCTCCCCTCTCCCTCGGGTCTTATCCTTATGGAACTTAACGGGGGCAGTTGGAAGGCATCCTAAGGAAGCAGCTCAAGTGGTACGAGACGAGCGATGGAGGGGAGGCGGAGCAGAAGGAGAAGGCAGAGGATGGCAGGGCAGCAATGATGAGCAAGAAGAAGGTTGGAGAGACTATAAGGAGCGCATCTGCCTCTTCTTACTGACCTGCTCTCAGTCCGTCTCCTGTCAACCCTTCCATGCCCTGCTCTACGCAGAGCTCGATGGAGATGTAATGATGACACGTCTGCTCCTGCTGCTCTTCCATGTGACGGCGGGTGTGCAGGTGGTGCTGAAGGTAGCTCAATCGTTTGCTCATCAAGTAGAATTCTCCGGTGATTGCATCCTCGGTGGAGCTGCGGGGATTTGATGAGTTTTCCTTTGAGCAGCAAGACACTTCAGACATTTCTTCGAGGCAGCAACGAGGTTTGATAGATTTCCGGCTTTCAACGACAACAAGATCAACGTTGGCTACCTCTCTCACGACTTTGGGGTACGGAAGAACCTGTGAAAACAGCTCACGATGTCAAACTCATGTGAACAAGTTTTCTCCCACTTGTTCACTACATCAGTTCATGTGATCTCTTGGATGAAGAAGCGTTGCAGGCAAAACATCTCAGCAATCCTTTGAAACATGCTCCACCTCAAACAAACATCTCTCATTTCACCTCTCACATGTATGATATGTTGCAGGATCATCCGACGGGGCATCTTTTCAACGGCGTTCCTTTCCTGCACCAACAATCCAAGAGGGTTCGAGCGTTTTATTTCTCCCTCAGGTAAAATTCTGCCTCCTCCCTCCTCCCTCCTCCCTCCTCCCTCCTCCCTCCTCCCTCCTCCTCCTCCCTCCT